CAGTGGCTCTGGAGTGAAACAAGATAAATTCCTTTCCTTTGGGAAAAGGCAGGGACAATTGCAGACTTAAAGGTTAGTTTTTTTTAAAAGGTTAGTTTGTTTCTATTATTTTAGACAAACAGCTTGACCTACAACTGCCCAGCTTTCACACTGCTGGAGCTGTCATGTGCTAATATTTGCATTTTATTTTTTCAAATAACTTTAAGAGGTTTGAATGGATTAAGACTGGTTTCTAGTGATCTACTTTTCTATACATGATTGGTTAAAATATGTCAGGTACTATAATTATACTGCTGTACTGCTGATTTCTGCTGGCCTATTGAAAGGAGAAGTTAATGCTTCAATTTTTTCTCTCTCCTTTTTAATTTTGTATAAATTTTCTTGACCAATTTTGCATGCTTATATCTGGTAATTGGAACTAATTTGAAAACAATAATATGCAATATGACAAGCATTGTTGAGTTTCTATTATTTTGTTTAATGAATTCTATATCATTTCTAATTTTTTTTTAGTATTATTTTCTTCTCTTTTAAAAAAAAAGTTTTTTGTTGTTTTTTTTTTAAAGCCTAAAACTGTTGCCAAAACTGAAGTGGCCATTTTGCTTGCCAAGGAGGAGTCAGCAAATAGTAATTAAAACCTATTTCAAGTTTTATTATGTAAAGTCATGATAAGTGGGCCTTGTTTAAGAATAATCTAGAGACATTAATTTATATAAACAAAATTACTATAAAGAAGATCTTAACATAATTTCTAAGTTCTTCTTTGTAAGTACTGAGACTCTCTAAAGAAGGCCTCTCCATATCCATTGTAGATATGGTTTGATTAAAGAAAGCTCATCCTAAGAATTCCAGTTCAAGTTGTTTTCAGTTGGAAAAATACAATGGATTTATGCATTTCTGTGTTAGAATTCCAGCCGCTTTTACAATTTCACGATTGTTTCAGTTCTAAATACTAAAAATTATTTTTAAAGGACACGTAAATACTTCTGATTTTTATATTCTTCTCATTTAAAATCAGATGTTTAACAATAGTGTAACTGACCAGAAGCAAAAGGTGGAAACCATAACTAAAAACATTAACAAAATTTCTTTGGAGTTGAAGAAAATGACAGGTAAGTATGGGATTATTAAAATGTTTACATGCCATTGTTATAAAATAAATAGTAAATTTATGCTTCTGCTGGGACAGATTTTTCCAACTAATTATATCTCTGTTGAGAAATGTTTGCAATATGAACTCTATAGATGAAATAGGTTTGAACATTGATCTAAGAGTAATCAATCCTGAATCTCTGTCTCTGACACTAACAATCTAATCATTTTGTATAACTTTTGTGAATTTCTCTTCCATCCTTTCACCACTGTTACATGACATGTCACACTCTACAAACTCAGTGTCTTTATTCATGGATCCTTACTAAACCACTACAGTTAATTCCAAATTAAGAATTATAAGTTTGATTCTGTAAATTAAGAGATCTTCACTTTAAATGGATTCATACAGTAATAATAGACCTTAGAGATCATAATATTTAGTTACTTCACAGACAAATTCTATGTTAAACACAGCATTTATTCCTGACCAAACATCTCTAGGTTGGGAAATTCTCTATTTCCTTGTCAACCCATTCTATTTTACATAGCTCCTCTTCATGAATTTATAGAAATCAGCTTACCTATTTCCCTCCAAGTCCCATTTAACCATGAAAACTACACTGACTAGATGGATATTCTTTTTATAATTCTTGGATATTTGTAGATGGCCCCTGTCAGTTATGAGACCATAAGCTCCAGGAAACAAAATACCAATTTAACATGACTTAAGACAACAAGGAACAGCAGATGTAAAGAAAGCCTAAGGCAGCACAGCCCTAAAGTTAATTCAGAGGTTGAAAGACTTCATCAAAGACAAACTTTTTTATGCTGTTTGCATTTTATCATTATTCATGGTCATTACTTTTGAGGGTAGCCATATACAGACATTATCTCTGCCTATATCTCTGTATAAACCTTTCGCCAGCTGCCTGTAGGACATCTTTCCTTCTGTTGGCCACAACCAAAGCGAATGAACTGCCAAGACCAAGTTGGATCAGTCAGAATTTACTGTTGAAGGTGGGGAGAGTGGTGCCTCAAATGGAATCAAGTTGTGCCACCAGAAAAAGGGAGTGACTGTTAGTGAGTGCTTGTTCTGCCTGTTCTGCTCTGTTTTTCACACATACTTTCCTTAGAGGAATATATCCCAGACTTTGATCTGAGAACCCTGCTGTCTCAAAAGATTTTTTTTTTTTTTGAGACAGGGTCTCACTATGTAGCTCAGGCTATCCCTGAACTATATAGCTCAGGATGGCCTCATACTCATGACAATCCTCTTGCCCCAGCCTCCTAAGTTCTGAGATAACAGGCATCTGGCTTCAAGGATCTTAAGAGATGGCATACAATAAAACACATTCCATTGTCTTATGGTGAAACAAGCCTAGGGTGTTCTGTGTGCTATATATTTCTCTCACAGTCACAGTGCACATTAGCAAAGTCTTTGAGGAGTTCAGTGTAAAGAGATTTCATTAGCTTTGCTTAATTCGTCTTCTCTCAAAATGAATCTCAACACTACATTGAAGATTGTCTTTCTAAAATCCAAATCTGCCTGAAACTTTCATTTGACTTCCTGTTATTCTCAAGATAAAGTCCAAATCTCCTACACAGAACTATGCAACCTTCTGAGGTCAAACTTCTGCTGACTTCTCCAGGCTTATTATATTCTCCCTGGATGTTCTGTGCTCCAGTCATACTGAACTACTGACATGTCCATGCATGCTGTCTTTTGTGTATGTCATGCATCTTCTGAAATCCTGTTGCTAAACTCCACTCCACACCAGGTTGATTGCTGCTTATTTGAGATCACATACATTGGAAAGCTTTCCTTGAATTGGCCTGCTTTCCCTTCTGCCCTACCATAGCATCACACCACATTGCAATCACATGCTTACTGTTTTCTCAATTGTAAATTCCTTAAAGGGTATTCATAGCATTTAGCACAGTGCCTCAATGTAATAGATTCTAGGAAAATGTTTATTACATAATAATAATAAATAATTCTATATGCTTGAACTTGTTTGAAAGCATTAAAGAAGCTTTGTATTATTACCAGAATTGATTATCTATTTCTTTCTACTTTGGGCAGTAGTCTTTTATGAGGTAAAATAGAAATACTGGATATGATAGACATGTTCCTGAAAAGTTAAGTGGGTAGATCGGGCAATTGGGATACAGAGAACCTATACATCTAGGCTAGGAGAGTAAGTTTCTGGTAGACATACAGAATTAAATGAACTCTCCATTTATCCTTATCTTCTTCTAAAATAATGTCAGAAGCTTAACACAAAACTTTCCATAATCCAAGTACCTTCCTAAGAGCTTTTTATAAATGAATTAGCTTGTTTTAACAATTCTGTGTGCTTGGAACTATTATTATTGACATTTACAGATATGAAAATAGAAAGAGGTTAATTTTCTCAAGGTTAAACAACTAGTCTGTAATAGAACTAATTTTTAAATACAAGTATTTCAAAGAGACAAAAATCTACAGGGTAGAGAAATGAATGACCATGAAACAGAAAACAAAAAGGAAGTAGACAACTTTGAACTCTAAAGTCCAAAAATGTGAGCCCCAAAATAGCTGAATAATGCCAAGAAATCAGTTCCCAAGTCTCAGTACATGATGATACTTGAATCTTTTGGAATTAAGGGTGAAATGTGGCCAATAACAGGAAGACTACTTAAATGTTTCTAAGAATATAATTAGGTAACTCTTCCACCTCTGCAACAGAAGATTTACGGCTTTAAAAAGAGTTCTCTAGCTGAGATCTGCTAGTCATAGTTGAGGGAGAGTACTGTACTGAAAACAAAAAAAATAGGAAAGGTACTATGACAAATGTTTCACCTGAATCATCAGACTCTCAGTTTTCCTTTCTCATACAGCTACCAAAATACCCTTTAAGCAGCCTTCTCTTTCAGGACTCTGACCCACTTAAAAGACCTAAGAACACTGAAAGAGATTCCTTCAACAAAATAACCCTGTGAGATCATTCCACAAAATAAACTACCCTGAGGATAGAGCATGTAGTGGTCATTAGTGATGAGGTCTTAAGTATAAGCAAACAACTATGGCAAACAGATACTTGAGGAAGACATTTAATATGAAAAACAGGCAAAGCCAACAAATAAATTCAATGAGGAGGAAACAAATTCTAAGGGAAAATGAAAATGTCAATAAACTACCATTAATACTTCTAAAGATGTACTAAAATTTTCTGTATCTATGAAAAAAAAAAGGATGCTGTAAAATTTAGGTAACAAAATAAAATAACTATGAAAGAAGAAATGAAAAACTACAGAAAGGCTTAAAGGAAAAAGAAATTCTCCTAAGATATAGAGAAAAATGACAGATGAAATGTGAGGGAAAATGACAAAATCATTATCTAATAAATAATGTGTTAGAGAAAATAGAGATAATTCATTGAAAAAATAATCTGAGAAAATTTTCCAAAGCTAGAAGACATGAGTTTCTACAGTGAAAGAACCCACAACAACGGCTAAAAATAGGAACATACCTAGGCACAATATTCTGAAATTTCAAAACACTGAGAACAAAAACATCAAGCAAGCTTCTGAAATATAAACAGTAACTCAGCATTGATATCACTTGAAAATTCTTAATAACAACACTAGAAGCTAGAGATAATGCAGCAATGCCTCTGGAAATCTGAAGAAATCAGATTTCCAACCTCAGCTTCTAAAGTCAGTCAACCTGTTAATTGAACATATATAGAGAACATTTTAGGCACATCTACCTACCCCACCCCAATCCCACACTACTGAGGCTATATTTTCCCAAACAAGAAAGCAGACCAAAAGAGAAATACATGGGGATTCTGGGAAAGATAAGGGATGCAAGGAGTTCTTAGGATAGTGGTTAAGGGAGTTCTCTAAGCAGGAGCTGCATAGCTGCCCTAGAGAGTAGTCATATCATAGGAAAGCAGATCAGAAAGCTTCAAAAAAGGGGAGACGTACAGCATAGAACAGCTGAGGTGCTAAATGTAAAAAGAGATTTACTCAACTCGGATTTTTGGAATAAGCTTCTGATAAACAACAAAGAAACAAAATAACTAATTGTAGTTAGAGGTAGTTTGCAAGAAGAATGTCATTTATAAGACTCAGCTGTAAAAATAGTTATATAATTAAGATTTCAGCATTAAATACTGAGCTAGCAAAAACTGTCCTCTAAACGTATTGAGGGAGAAAGGAGTAAATAAAAGAGCTGTATTTTAATATTTTTTAGTCAGAAGCAGATAGTACCAAAAATTGCAAAACGATCATGCCATTTAAAGATGTGGAGATAAATACTATGTCATACCCCCCCATAAAAATATATAAATGCAGCACAGACATACATGAACCAACAAAAGCAACAGAAACAAAGTGAAATTTTTAGAAAGTTGAAAATGGTTGCTCTGAAAGACAGTGACTTTTATTTTTGTAACATACCTTCTAGACCTGCAGCTTCACACTAGGTACATGTTTAGCTCAGATAAAAGCAAGTCTAGAGGGCCAGCCAAATAGCTCAACAGATTAAAGTGCCTGCAAGCAAGCGCAGGGGCCGGGGGTTTGATACCCAGGCCTGCTGTGCCGTCTTTGCCCCTGGGCTGTGCTGAGAGGGCAATTGAGACAACATGGTGGCACACGCCTATAATCCTAGCTCTTGGGAGGCTGTAAACAGGTGGATCACTATGAGTCCAATCTACTAGTGAGACCCTGAACACCCTGTAGACCCTTCCCTAAAATACAAAAAAGAAAAGGCAAGTCTACAACTGTAGGAAAATTTTGCATAAATCAAGTTGCAGTGTAAGAAAGATAGCTGACTAACTGGATTAAAGAGTCTTTCTGGGTAACTTTTATATCATACATGTTGCATAGTACATAAATTTGATTTTAGGTCAAATTGGACACATGTAAGTTGTGATTTGATCAGCAATCATTTGCAGAAAATTAAGAATTACTTAAAGCAGTAATAGTTGCTTATTATACATGTACTGCATTATGTCTACATTTTGCTTTACTCAGAGCTCTCCCAGTTACTGCTTTGTGACCTTAATCTGCAGTTTGGTTATCCTGTGAATACAGAGGACTTAAAGGAAACAGAAAGAAATGAGTCTCCATTTGAAAAGTCTGAAATGCCAGATGTATCCCTTCCTCCTAACAGTTTTTCTGTCTAATTTTCTTTTTAGTAGTTATGAGTTTCTGGTGTTTTGTACTGTTGAATTAGTAAATATCTGGGAGAATTGAATTTACTAATATACTTAATATAATTAAAGACAGTAAAATGATATGGAGTTGTAAATAAACATTTCATTGTCTTGAAGAGTCATTATTAATTTAATGTTTGAAGGGTGGTTAGTTCATTTTACTAAAGGCAATTGTTTTTCCTTCACGCTTATATTTGCCTTAAGTTAATAGAGTCACTATAGGTCATATGAGTTCATATTAATCAGAACTCTTCTAGTAGCAAACCAGCTGATATATTTATTGGATCATGTGACTTGGAAGTCCATAATTGGTACAGGTTAATCTAAGCAAATTCATTTCCTATTTCTATTGTTTTTCTGTGTGTTGGTCTCATCCTCTCCCTGATAGACTGGTTTCTTCCACATGGTGGGTAGAAGAAGGTACAAATGTAGCAGCAGAGAACTCAGATGGTACAGTATAAGTTTTGATGGATCCTCAAAAAGGAGAGATCATCTGTCTCAATATCCATGTGTCACACTTCAGAGAGGGACCCTGACTAGCTTAGATGTAAAATGGGTCACTGAGAAGGAACCTGAGCAGTGGTTATTGCTGCAGCTGATGTCATAAAGCCTTAAGCCAAGAGATCCCCTTGGTCCTAAAACTCTTTAATATCTGTCCCTTTCCACCAAGAGACTCTAACGTAAGCTTTGGCTTTTCTGGTGAACATGATTCACTGCCATATAGATGTTTTGGCATTTATATGACCTTCATTTTAGATAGTTTTTGGGCATAGCCAACAGGATGTCTTGAAACAAGACAGTGGTCTTACTCCATCCCAGAACTTATGACTCATTCTCATTACCCAGCACCTCACTCGGTATTTGACAGAACAGGCACAAGATAAATAGCCATCAAGTTTCCTTTGGAGTAAACACATAAATGTGTACCAGTTTTTGTAGCTTTGAACTTCCAAATTCTGAGCTCTAACTTGTGAACTTCTGGTTTATAAGAGTAAAGTTTTATGAAACGTTGTAATCATCACTAGTTAAAAATTTCCACATTCCATATACTTACCTTACTATATCATCAGTTTTAACCTGGTGATTGCTAAAGTCCCTTCCAATGTTTTGCTCATTTTATGAAAATAAAAGTACAAAATTGTCGCTTTAACTCAGAAAGCTTGTTAGAGGAGGGTTTTTGTTTTTTTTTTTGTTTTTTTGTTTTCTGTTTTTTGTTTTTTTGCTACTTCATGCTGCCTTAAAGGCAGGTTTGGTGCAGCTTCTGGAGCTGGGAATTGAACTGTGGTCCTACAAGCCTGACTGCATTTGCCCAGGCAGCACTTTAAACAATTGAGCATTCCGGCAAAGCCCCTCAGAAAGCTTGTTGATTGAACAGAGAAGCCAAAAATTTCTGTTTATATAAATTATGTAATAATAGCGAAGCCCCCCCCCCAAAAAAAAAGAATAACCCTTGAAACAGATTGTCAGTGTTCTGTTGAATACCAAGGTTTTCCATGCCAAACATCTACTTCAGATGCGTCTTGACTTATATCTTGATAAAACCATTACCAATCAAAAATGCACGACTGTACTTAACTCACACACCATAGGTCAGCACTGCCTACCTTAAGCCTAGCCAGAACTTTGACTGTAATGTACAGTGGGGCTAAATCATCTAACACAAACTCTATGATAAAGCGTTGGATGTCTCATGTACTTTATTGAAAGTCTATGTACTTTATTGAAAGTCAATGCTAGCAACATCTAACAATGCAGAATATCAGTGGTTTTCCCTTCCTGATCACACAGATGACTGGAGCTGCCTGTGCCTGCTTCCCAGCACCATAAAGGGATCATACTACACATTGTTTGCTCAAGAAAAGATAAAAATTCAACACAGTCTCTACTTTATGCTTATCATCTTTATACCACCTAAAGTGGATAATAAGTCGAATCAGAAGGTGGGGACTGTTCCTTTCTACTGAAATTTGTAAACTTAAAGGATCAGTTCAGATGTTTTGAAGGATTCAAAAAGCCAGTTTGAGAAGGATAAAGAGAGAAGCTTTGTGTCACCCTTGTTAGGGGGACTTAAAAGAAAAGCAGTGCTGTGATTTGTACAGGGGTCCCCCAAAAGGCCTGTACTGAAAGCTCCATCTCTAGCCCACGAAGGTATTGGGAGGTGGTGGTTGGAACCTCTTCAAGAAATGGGGCCTCATGGAAGGAAGTTGGATCATTTGGGGGCAAAGGATGTGGACACCCTGGCCTCCTCTGACCTGTCTCTGCTTCGCAACTATGAGGTGAATAGGCCTCCACATTTTCCTGTTCTCTTATAGTCCCAAAGCAAGAGACTAAAAACTCTTAAACCATGAGCCAAAATAAACCTTTCCTCCTTTTGAATGCCACAGGTATTTTTTCATAGTAGTGAAAATCTGACTAACACAAGCCATACCAAATAGTAAAGTGTGAGTGAATTTGTCTGTGTATAAACATTGTTCCTTTATCTTTCTAGGAAGTTTTTAGTAAAATCTACATCACTGAGCCATGCTTTGGAGTTGGGTGGGGTGGTAGGTGGGGGGATGAGGATGTAATGAAGTGCCAATTTAAACCCAGGTGTATTTCATACCAAAGATTTGTTTCTAATTTACTTTAGCACAAACATAGTAGTGTGAACTAAACAATACAATTTTTTTTAAGGACCCAAATGTGAGCCACTTTTAAAAACAGGAAGTAATTCAACATGCATTTATTTTGTCATAAAAAAGTACACAAAATCCCCCCACCAAAAAATACTACACAAGAAACAATGAAATATTTTTGAAGTCTCCTAAATTGTTACTGCTGAGAAAATGAATTATAGTAATTGTTAAATTATATAAAAATTGATAATTGCCTCTAACAAAGTTTGATACTAAAATAGTTTTATATGATACTGAAAGCTCTTATCATCTAAGTGTTTTTAAACCAGCCCCGATTTATTTCAGCAGCTGGATAAACTACTGTACTTCGAAATGGGTATTCAGAAATACATGTCTACCTTTTTACATGAAGTACCTCAGTGCATTACTAGACTTCATATGTGAACATTATTACCCTTGTATTGTACAAACATTAAAGAATAAATAAATTATAGGATATTGGACAGTCTTCATTTCAAACACTTCATAAAGGGAAGGGCAAAACCGGTGTGTTCATGTTGACAGGTTCCTTTCAGTCTGTTCACCTAGGTTGGCCAATCTTCCCATGTTGCCATCCAAAGCGAGAGGAAGCTGCGGGTGCATGGCTGGCTTGCTATGGGTACCCTGCAGCATGTGTTAGTGTACACTGGTATCTAGAGCCTCGATTTTTCCCATCAATGAGTAGAAGCGGCATCTTCCTAAAGTATTCAATAATATCTGACACAGACAAAAAGTCCTGGAAAAGTCAAAGTAGAGAGATAAATAAACATTAAAATTGATAGCATGAATTTCACTCTCAGTTTTGAAAATCTGCATAAGGTATTCTGTCTCTTCAAGTTATGAGAATTGTGGAGAAGAATGGAAAATTTGGCAAACATTTTAATGATTTTGAAACAATTCATTGTCAACATTCAACAAATTAAGACTAAAATTTTAAACTCGACAGAGGGGATCATTTCTCTAAATATTCTAATTAAAATACCCTTGCTTTGGGGTTACTCTCTTGTTTCTGATTTTGGTTTAGATCTCCGTATCTCTTTCACCCCAATCATTAGCAGCATTAGGAAGTATAAGGAATTAAGAAGGGGACATTGCTCATGGTGTCTGGGGATGGTACAGTATCTGTGCCATGGTACAATGGTCCCTCTAATATCTCTCTGCTATGGTATAATAGCTCCTCCAATGCTGTGTCCCCCATCACTACCTCCACACTCCCAAGGCCTCAGAAACCATGCCTTTGCATTTGTACCCTGAATCACCCACTCCTTGATGCCTAGACTGGGAAATATCTCATTAGTCCTTCTAGATATAATTGAAAAATAAGGCAAATCTTTAAGTATTTTAAAAATTTATTATAGTAGAAAACCACATTGTTTTTAACCCTCCCCCCTTGCTTTGAAAATGCCCGGTAGTCCTTGCCACTTTCTGAATCAGTTCTAGAATCCTCTTTCATGAGTGTCTGTGGTTGTGCTATCACTGCTGCCTCGATACTCTGCATTGGCTCAAAACATCTACTTTTCATGGTTATTTGAGGGCAAGAAGTTGCTCGGTGCCAGATCCAGTGGGTATGGTGGAAGAGGACACACAATGTTTCCACAAGCCTGCCTTTCTATTGGATGACTGTCAGCAGTGGCATCCACTGCTTTTTTAAATTACATATTATAAAGCCACTCAAAAAAGGGGACTTCCAAACCGCTTTACAAAATGGCAAGAATGATGGGCTAGGTGTTCAAAGGTGAGTGGGAGTATCTAGAGGGGGAATAATAACATGTGTCCTTTCCTGTAATACATTTTTAATTTAAATATTCACTGTCTTTTCCATCACCCGTCAGATGGATGACCAGTCACAAACAGGATTAGGTATATTCTCCAAGTTTTTTCTCTAGGTACTGTATCGTCTTCCTCCAGGCAGCTACAAGTTGTAGTTGGATATTTCCAAAAGAAACCTTGGAAGACAGACCCCTCTGCCTCCAGAAGGCCTAAGTAGCTTTATCTACAGTGGACAAGTAATTTAAACATTTTACAAAAATCATATGCTTTGTTCATTCACATGGTCACTACTTAAAAATATTTGGTTGGAAAAGTATAAGTTATGAATAAATTATTTTTTATTCTGGAAATGTTTAATTCAGCTAATCTTCTTAAAACTTTGAACTTATCCTATTATTCTACTTTTTTTTTTTGAGACAAGATCTCATCACGTAGTTCAGTATGGTCTTGAACTCACCATGTAGCCCAGGCTGACCCAAAACTTGAGGAAACCCTCCTGCCTCATCCTCCCAAGTGCTGGGATTATAGAAATGCACTACCAACCAGCAGTGACTACTTTAAAAAGAATGTTTGTGACACTAAATGTAGTTGTTAGCTTCCTTTGCAAAAGGCAGTCCTGAGGTTTTCTTTTAAACCAGTTTTGATTATCAACCTCAAAATGGAATGAAAGCCTAAACCTTGGCCTCAAAATTGGGAAATTTCTTTGGCAACTTGCCCATTTTCATAGAGCACACTTCTTTGTTCATTAAGAGATAATCCAAGTATCTAAACAATTTTCAAACCAAGTGTTCATGTTTTCCTTCTATCCCAGATAGTATTAATTTACAATATAGCCTTGTAAGCATACTGAAGTCTTAAACTAAAATTTGCCACTGAGCTTAGTAATAGAAGAGACTTGCCCTTGACACAGTCTAATGACATTTTACAAAATTAAATACTGCCTTACTTTATACCCTTGATATTGGCTTATTTGAAATAAAAAGTATAAGAAAGACTCATAAATATTTTGATATGGTTCCCTTCAATAAATGGTTTCACTAATGTAATTTAACTCTCAAAATTGCATGCATTCCCAAATTCATGTGTTCCCAAGAATATGAAAGAAGATTCTGTACAGGTATGCAAAGAGGCATGAAAAACAGTTGGTGAAAATTTTGAAATCTTAAATTCTTACCTCTTTCCCTCTGAGTCCTGTTCCCAACAAGTATACTTTACTTTCCTCCTGATAACGGATCTGGATGTTATAAACTTTATCTTTGTACAATACCATGAGGACGTATGGATTGGCTGTTGTTTTTCTGGAGCTGTCTCTAACCAGAAAAGTGCCATCCTAAAAAGGTAAATTCTTCATTATTATAGGAGCAGTAAAAGTCAATGTTTTGTTGCCTTTAAGAGCAGTGGACAGCCCCTAGGGCTCTGCCATTCAGTTCTCTGAACAACTACAGACCAAGGTGGTGTGGATCTCTTGGTTATCAAGAAAGACAGTAGAGATAGTATCAGAAATTTCCAAGGCCACCTCTTCAAAGACTATTGGCAAACAAAATCTGTTTTCAGAAATAAAACAAATAAGAGGTGGTTGAGTGGATAAAGGGCCAGGAGAAATAGGACTTTATTGGTTAACTCAAGATCTACCTTTCTACTCCTGTGAGTTAATCTTCCCTTCCATATCCATAATCAGAAAACACCCACCTGTCTATGAAATGTATTCCTTTTAAAACTTCATCCTCCCTAGATTTAGCATTTATCCACCATACATGAACACAATTGAATGCAAGCGGTTTATGTTAGACAACCTTTTTTCCCTGATGTTTACTGAACTAGTTTGATTTGTCCTATAACTTAGTCCATAAATTATTGTCAACATAATAATGTAGTACTGTAAAAGATCTAATATTAAAAACAGAACTAACTAGGACAATTCACTCAAACTACTCCTTTCTCTGAGTTCTAAATCTGGATAGCTCTAAAACACCCACTGATCTTCAATAATGGCCTTCCTTAGTTATTTTTATCCCAAGTTAGTAGAGCAAGTTAGAATATCCTGCTAAACAGAAGTACCTCCAGATCAGTGATTCCCAGGCTTGACTTGGCAATCAAAATCATGTGGAAGTCTGAAGCCCAATCTGATTAAAATTGAATCTGTCCAGATGAGACCCAGATATCAGGATTTAAAAAATAACCTCCCAAGGTATTTCAAAGTGCAGCTGAGGTTGAGAACAATGGCTGCACACTTTAAGTATGAAAGATGAAAGATCTTTGCTTTATAGACTCTGATAAATAGACTTAAGTTTGAGGATCAGCATTGTGGCACAAGGAATCTATTTCAAACTTTGTAATACTGAAGGACTAGAAATTTCTAGGAGAAAAGGCAAAATAGTTCTCTGTCTCTGTCTCTGTCTCTGTCTCTGTCTCTGTGTCTATCTCTGACTGTCTATCTCTGACTCT